GCCTTACTGCTCCCGACCTTCACTCACCATCTGCGTCCAGCATCGCATCAGCATGTGCACAGCACCACAACAGCAGTTAACGCCATAAACACCCAGATAGTCCATGGCCTCAACCAAAACCGACCCTGCACGCGAACTGTCCTAGTAGCACTGGACTTGTCAAAAGCTTTTGACACACTCAATCACTCAGTGCTACTAACGGACATTGAGGAATCCTCATTACCGCCGGGGTTGCAGAGGTGGGTCATGGGCTACCTGAGTGGTCGACAATCATCGGTAATTCTCCGAGGTGTAACATCTAATCCCAGAAAAATTAAACAGGGAGCTCCGCAGGGTGGTGTCCTCTCCCCGCTACTGTTTAACTTTTACATTTTGAAACTCCCTCCACCACCACTGTTGACAGTCATAAATTTGAAGTCGTATATAATTTCGTGAATCTAGGAACCAGCTTCAACACCAACAATAATGTTAGCATTGAAATCTAGCGCAGAATCACTATTGCCAACAGGTGCTACTTTGGACTGAGTAGGCAATTGAAAAGTAAAGTCCTCTCTCGGCGAACGAAAACCAAACTCTACAAGCTGTACGAGCTATACTATGATATAGACATAGTTCAGCGAATGAAGAGACAGCGGCTACGCTAGCAAGGTCATGTCGTCCAAATGGATGAAAGCACTCCAGTTTTGAAAGTATTCGATGCAGTACCCGCCGATGGAGGCAGAGGAAGAGGAAGACCTCCACTCTGTTGGAGGGATTGCCGATGATTTGTCAATTCTGAGGAGGACGTTGAGGAGGCCATTTTAAAACACTCACGTTTTCATTTTTGAGATACTCGGTATTAATTTTTGCAGTATAAATGGGCTCATTGTCCTCTTGCAGAAGAATATCCGGTCCAATTAGTCATTGACCCTCGAGAATGGCGTGCTTCTTTAAATTATTTAAGTAAACTGCAGAAGTAACTTTTCCTTTCAGAACCACAATATTGTCAGTACCATTCGCAGATAAGCATGCCCAAGCCATTAAACCCTCTACGATCGACTTACTGTGGATAAGAAGCACTTGTATGACAGTTCTTCTATGAGTGACCACCAAACGCAAGCGATGCCATGGGAATAACGAAGTCTAATCATCGACTTTATTGCAACCCGAGCGTGAATGTTGTCTTGGCGCAATCTGTTACGGACAATGTGCACTGAGAAGCCTTACCTTCTCTTATAAGCTGAGTTTCAAACAGATGTAAATGAATCAGATATGGTAATATCCAAAACTCTTTTATCAACTCTTCTCATTCGTTAGTTGCTTAAACTTTGCCATTTTCAGTAATTTTAATTTAATTTACTGAAACAAAATTGAAAAGATATTAAAAAAAATGTTTTTTGTTAAATCAAAGCTTTACTTACCAATTCAATTTCAAAACTATGAAAACAAAGAATTCTTACACCTATAATCAATTATTGTAATTAATTTGCAAATTTTAATATATTGTTACGAAAATGCGAGGCGAATGTCAGATGAAAGAGAGAAGCCGATAACTAGTACATTCTAGAAACGATAAAACAAGAACCTTCCATAGCGAACAATTCGATGCTTCTACGCTTTCGTCTGCGAGCAGCCGACTGCTATATAAAGGCGACACTCAGCTGCAAGTCAAGTTAGTGTTAAAGTAAACTCGTTGGCGTTAAGATCAGTAAAGTCGTAAAGTAAACACGTTGGAGAGTACATTTAAGTAGAGTAAATTGTGAAAGTTGATGCTAGTGATTGTAAATAGTACAGTGTATTGTAATTGTATTGTGAATTACGGAGTAAATAAAAGACATTAGATAAATTCTTTGTAACGAAAGAAACTGCAAATTAAGTTGGCGAGTTTTATTTAACAATCCAGAGATCGTACCCGAAGGATTTAGAAAATAATCGAGGTTGATTTAGTAAAATCGTAACAATATATACATTGATTATTGCACTTGATAACTTACTTTTTTTAACTGAATTTTATAGTATTTTTTGTTACTGTTTTGTGTTTCTCTGTTTTCAAAACTGATGTAACTAATGCATATTTATATTATTAATATAAATATAAATATGTTTTTAATTGAAATTTGAAATGAAGACTGAAATAGATAATTTATATTAAATATTCAATTAAAAATAAAACATTTTTTGGTGGTGTTGCTCAATAGTTTTTATAAATATGCTTTATATAATCATTTTCATCAATTCTTGCATTTTTCCTTAAATAATCTTTTAGTTGAGCGTTTATATAAAGCATTTTAAAATTATTTTTTTAGTGGTTATATATGACATTTTTTATGAATACAAATCCTTTATTGAAATACTTATACATGCCTGATTGAAAATGGATACAAAAGAGATGGTCATAGTGTATTCTTATGGAATCAGTCCAGTCCAGTCAGTGAGTCAAAAACTCACACCAACAGTAGGTATCAATTAGTCTTTTTCCAACGTTCTGTACAATTGAAGGGACGCTTTTCGATCTATACGGATATAATCTCATAGTCATATGGGTTTATATGAGTCATACTGTTTATGCAAGGCATGTTTGTATTCATGAATGCGTTTGACATATTTAATGTTGCTGGAATACATATATAAATTATACTCTATAACTGTAAATTTGGTGGCAATGAATAGGAATCGTCGCCCTCTCACCACACAGGGTGAGTTGAGCACATAGAATTAGAATATCAGATTTTTGATTCCTTGTTGCTACCACCACAATGACGATAACACATTCTTAATCCTCCTCAGGTTATTAAGTGAACAGATTTAACAAATTTTAAAACTGTTTGCAGATTGCGGCCTAAATAAAATATTCAATTCTGACGGATTAATCATGTAGAGTGAAAAGCCAATGGGACAGTTCGCTATAACTAAAACCTACTATAATATATAATATATATATACAATTGGCACTTTAAAACCGCTGAAGCGATTTTCGGCCGAGCTCCTTCTCCAATTTGTGGTCTTGCCTCTTGATATTTTTCCAACAAATGCAGGGACCTACAGTTTTTACTAAGGCGTCTCCGAATGGCTGATGATTTTTATATGAAGAGCCTTTATTTCATGTCAGAAATACACTCGGAGGGGTTGACATTTCCTACCGAGGGGCGACCGAAATTATAAATTTAAGCTTAATTTTTTATTTAAATTAATTTACTATAACTTTTGGATGTTGGTCGCACGGGGATTTGAACGCGAGTCTTCCGAATGGCAAAAAAGTACACTTAAGTTTAATCACGGTGAAGTAACGAAGGGCTTTTACACAGAGAGTCGGCACTAAAAGCGCATTGTTTTTATGGCAATTTAGTTTATTTTTTCCGCAGCACTTTATGGCTACTAGCGATTTCACAGGAAATTGGGGGACTTAAAGTTTTCTCTCCACTGTGACACGACAGTCCTCATCGTACCAGCTGTTTTCTCGACCTTTCCGAAATCCAGTAGTTTCGTTTGCAGCTAAACGTATAGTTTGAAATTCCCTCCCACAGTTTCCTTATACCGAGTTGAGGATGAGTTCTCTCACAGAGCAGTAGTGCAAGCCGAGTAGAAAACCGTTTGGCTGTTTGTTGTGATTGCAGCTCTTCGGCATCGAACCTTCGTTATGTTTGGTGACGGATGTTCTTGATACACAGAGACGCATGCGAATATTCACCGCGACAAGATAGTGATCCGAGTCGATGATAGGGCCTCTCACAGTGCGAGTGCGCACATCTAAAGCACTGAGTACATGACTTCCGTCTATCACAACATATTGATCTGGTTGAAAGACAGCCAAGTAGCTTAGTGACTTTTCTTTTTCTACAGCCGCCAAGCTTGATTTTTACATCCTTTCGGGGGCAACATACACTTATACCCCCTAGGTGCACATCATCATTACTTTCCGTCGGGACGTGGGCATGAATTAACGGTTTAAGTTCCTTCATATGGCCCAAGAGCAGGAATTGAGTATAGCTTCGCGACTATAACTAAATACACAGGAGCATGATTTCACCGGAATGAAGAAAACCTCCACGTTCGAACGGTGACAAGAGGTTAGATGACAATAACAGCACCAACGCCAAAGGGATTAACTCTTAGAGCTATCACCCTCACGGATACCTAACTCTATTTAGGTTAACAGATTATTCTAGTCTAACCACATCAACGGAGCAACATCTCGCAGCAGGATTGCTTCAAATACTTCTCACCAAGGCTGCCACTTTTTTGCACGCCTCTTTAAACCGACTCATCTAAACACCCTTTTTTTGCCCCTAATCCTTCGAAATAGCCCTTTTCCTTCTTCGAGCCGCTACTACAACAGAAACAATGACAACGTTAAAGACAGTACATTGAAATATTTCAAGCTGAAGGAAACTCGCTACAATATGAATGAGTGTTTGCAAATACTGGGGCTGAATGAAGTTTCAACTAACTGCAATATACACAACACATCTTTAAATGGCCTAAATACCAAAATTCAGTGGGGATGAGTCTAAAGCCAATACTCTAAGTAAGTCGCCGTACCTTGAGTGATGAGAGTGATGAGACAGCAGTTGTTCATGTCGACCGAATAAATGAAATCGCTCTTGCTTGGAAAGTGCCTTGCTTGCGGTATTTGCCGGTGGAGGTTGCTATGTATTAGACTGACACACACTATATCTTTGTATTAAGACTGACACACACATTATCTTTGTAGATTTTAAAGCAGCATTTAAAAGAACGGATTTATATAATGAGTCGCTTGTTTCAAGAGCGACGCCCGCTCTCAACCGCACTTCTGGTAACAGACTTCGAACTTCAGTTTTGGTTAAAGCTGCTATTTTAAGATTTTTCATTATAAACAAGATTTGCATAATTATATTGCATATCTATAATTTTTATTTTTCTAAGATTAAAATTACAACTAAGTCAAATTCACGTTAAGCCAATTGTAAATTCAAATATCAAAACCTTCCTTTAACAATATATAATTGTGGATCTTTAACTCTAATTCTTTGAACGCTTACCTCTTGCGGTGAGTTTCTTAGTGTTGATGATTTTTGCAGCGAACTCAAACTGTGTCGACTTTTGAACACATCGTTTAACAACTGAGAATGCGCCCCTGTAAAATTAAATTACTAATATTAAATATCAGTGGAGATTTCGAAGTAGCTAGATATATATATATATAAAATAGACGTTTTGTAATCACTGAACCAATTTTCGGCCGTACTATCCCTCCAATTTGTGGTAAGCACCTTGATGCTTTTTTTAATAAAGCTACAGTTTGTGAAGATTTTTTTCTTTATTTTCGAAAAAAATCTTTTTGTTTCATGTTAGAATACGCTCCGATTGGTTGAAATTTTTTGCCGAGGGGCGACCGCAGCTATAAAATTATATGCGTTCTAATTTACATTGACCATCTGATTGGTATCACGCACTGCTAACCACTTGACTGTCGGGACCGCCAAATTGAGTTATAATTATGTAAATATTACTTATTTTCATCAAAATCTCTTTACATAAATATTTGAAAATATAAAGTTTACTTACTTTCCCAGTTCTTCCTTAATTTCATAATTGTCGGAAAAGCGCGTACAGGCTGCTGGGGCAGCCATCGCGATGGCACACTTAAGAAAATCTATTTCGGCAGTAAAATATCAGTGGTTAGTTATATATTTATATAATATTTTTAAAAACAATGCTGAAACACTCAGTAATTGATAGGCGAGTTGGGATATACTGGAATTGCCACAATATTTTCACAACAAGTCGAGTTTCTAGCTAGAAGTAATTTACAGAAATATGTCGTGTATATTATACAGGTGAAATTTCTTAGTCCTTAAATCGAACCTAAGTATATATTCGACTGGCGTTGTCAATTATGTTGGTGGTCAAGAACTTCTGATTTTCTGCAAATTAAAGAAAAAAAAATCTATTAATTTTAGGAATGAAACGCTCTTAAAAAAGAGAAAATAATTTCAAGCGCTATTTTAAATTGTTTCTTAAATTTATTGTAAACTGCTATTTTTTTATTTGTTTTATACAGTAAAGCATATTGCTCACAAAAGCCAGATTAGAATCTTGGTGATTTTGCTTGTTGGAGCAACTAGTCTAAACCCGATTAGAAGCTGTCAGGATCAATGACGAGGTTAGGTCATCCAGGCCATCCAATTAGGAAACGAGCTCTTTAGACGAGTCGGTATTAGTGGGAAAAGGGAATTCGATAAGTAGGCCCTAAGCAGCATGCCAGTATCAGATCCTACATGTGCCAGTATTACGCAGAACTCTCGAGGCAGCTAGAGCTCTTCGCCCGCCCCGGTTTTGGTAGGTTTGCAGCGTGAAAAGTCAACAAATGTAGCACGTGTACCTCTTCGGGTCCGATCAGGTACGATCACCGAATGAAATTTCTCCCCGAACTGTGTTCCAAAGTTTGATAGCAATTAGGGCAGAAGTTAAAGGGCCTTTAATATCCCTTTTATTTGTTCCGCTCGTGAATGTCAATGCCAAACCACCAGACTATGCTGTTCATCAAACCAGCACTCGTATTTGGTAAGTCCCGCGAGCAGTGACAACTACTCATATTTCTGGTGGGGGAGTCATTACTCATAGTGCAGAAAGTTGATTTGTCCATCTGTTCCACCACCTTCATCGCCTATGGTCGTTTCACATACTGTAGTGCAATTCTGTAGCTTTTATCGACACGATTTGTCGGATCGCAAACTTGTGAATTTTGTCGCTTGCGCTAATGATGACGCACATTTCTACTTCATTAAAATGAAGGAAAGGTGGCACCATAGCTTAACAAATCTTCGAAATATGCGAAAAACACAAAGAGGAATGACAAAACCGATTAAATTGGTTACAGCAATTATTTTTATTACATAAATAGCAATGTATTACAAATTTTATGAAATGAAAACCAAAATCTTGAGATAAGGATCACATTTCTATGTACAAATATAATAAACTTTGTTACTACAATAGTAATTTAACAAAATTTACTCTAGCCATTTGCACCTTGGTATCCATGAAAGTTGACATACTCTTCTCCCCATGATTACTGGGACTCACGATGGACACATGAGTGTAATCGATAGTCCTATAAAATATTGCACTGTTGGCTGCTTCTGTCAAATGATGAATACAATAGCTTGCTGACAACTGACTCATGGCTACTTCCAATTTCCTATTTCCAACGGGACGTTGGTAGCATCCACTTGCAAAGAATCGCAAGGCGGTTAGAACCTTCAAACATTTCAATATTGTCATCACTGGTTGAATCTGAATTTGAAAGTTTGCTTTCGGTACCAGCTATGACTGGAAGGACTTGCGACGAGTCTGCTGCGAAGAGTTGCTCTGTTATGAACTTAAACTAATGTTACCTGTTGACATAAATGTGGTTGTTGTTTTTATGGTTTTTTTTTTCTTTTCAGGTGCCGTTGATTATCTGCGTTGGCGAAATTTTGTATTCTTCTTTGCTTGTCTGATTAGGTTTTGCAGTTTTTTTTTTATGATTTTTTGAGTGCAAATAAATATCTGCTATTTGTAAATTATTTGAGTTTTTTAAATTACTAGAGTAATGATCATTATGTAGTATGCCTCGATGATCTCCCAAATTGTTGAATAAAAGTCACTAAGTTTGTTATACAGTTTCTAAATTATAAACGCTGGATAGGACGGCGTACACGCAAACGCTGAACGCCATTCACCAGGAGTCAGTTAAGACCTTTAAAGACTACCTTCACGTGAATGGCGTTTTTTGAGGATAAGCCGCACCTATTAAGGTCAATGAGCTCGAGCTGCCTCGAGAGACACGCTTGACACTGGCAAGGCAGGCTAAACGCATACTTACCCAGACTCGACTACGCAACGACACACGGTGACTTAGATTAATTAAGCTGTCCCAAAGCGGAGTTATCGCAGCCGCTACAACAACAGCAACAATAAAGCATGTCCATCCACTTATTCACGAATTGAACTTGGCTCGCTTTTTTACAAAATTGGAAGAGAGGATTATGGGGCGTTTTGTCTCAGCTTTGCGATTCTACTCTGAATGGTGGAGCTTATCTTACAGCGTTACCTGGATCTTCTTCATCATATTCGGACTTTCCATCTCGACTCGGTTCGGCAGGTAGTAGTGCCGCCGCTTCACGAGCTTATGCATATGCCGTAGTTTCCGCATAATCGTTATTCGGTTTCCCATATGCCTCCCGCTTGGTATATATATATGCCCTTTAATCCGATGGTGACGACCAAATGTGTACTTCAATAGCCAGTTAGGTCAATCTCTCAATTGCGGAAGCAAACTCCTGAAGAGAATCATTGCACCTTTGATTGCGATTCTCCAGCTCCAGCTGGTACCATTGCCGCTTGTGCTCACTACCATAACGTGCCAAAGTAGTTTGACGAAACTTCTAAGAGCTAGCACAATTCTAGTTACAAGCAGGAAACAAGCCAGTATTAAGTAATTTCCTGAAAGAGAGCTTTTATATTTCGGAATAGATTATAATTTTAAAGACTCCGACGTTTTAAAAGACGGCTTAAAATTTTTCTAAAGTTCGAATAGGTTTTTGTGGCCGATTCTAATAAACGTACTCGACACTTTCTTAAATTAGACCGTTAACCATTGTTTGCTTTTCCGGAATGAGTAAGCCCATGTCAGTAGTTTCTTTTTCTGGAATCTTGTGACGCGTTTAAAATTTTTAGGTAAAATAGTATTAAAGTAAGATCAAAACAAGTTCTTAAACAATTTATTTTTAGACTTTATTCATGTGCCGCACCAGCTAGAGCGTTCATAGCTGGTGTGAAGTCATATACAAGAAAAAACAGTTGTTCAAAATTTAATCTTACTTACTTTACTGGCAAAGACACCGCTTACGTGATTTTAACAGAATTTATAACATCGCGCTATTCGTTCCTTTTTCTCGCTGCTTGGTGCTAATTGGAGATACTAAGCAGAGCCGGGTCCGTCTCTATTTGGTTTTTCCAACGGAGTGCAGGTTTGTTTCTTCCTCTGCTTCCACCGGAGGGTACTGCATCGAAAACTTTCAGAGCTGGAGTATTCTTATCCATCCGGACCACATAACCTACGCTGGTCGCTGTTTCTTGATTTGCTGACATGCTTCTGCACCATATATCAGGACGGGAACGAGCCTGGTTTTCGTTCGTCGAAATGGGACTTACTTGTCAGTTCCATACTCAGTCCAAAGTACCACCTGTTGGCAAGGCTGACTTTATTATTGATATTAATGCTGGTTTCTAGATAGCCGAAATTATCTACAACTGTCAACAGTGACGTGGGAGCCGAGTCGCGAATGCGATGATTGTTTGTGTGATGACAAGAGATATTTCTCCATAAACCATTGATAACTTTAAATTCATTTTCTAACTTCCTACTAACACCTTTTTTTGCTAGATTATATTCCGATAATTTTTAAGTACCAAGCATTGTGTTAATTTCACTCACAATAGATATAAGCGAGTTATATGCATATAGTTCGGCGCTTTGTAACCGCTGAAGCAATTTTCGGCTCACCTTTTCGTTCAATATGTGGTATTATGCGTATTAATTTTTCTCCAACATATGTAAAGACTCATGGTATATTCTAGCCCGCCTTCGAACGGCGGGATCGATTTTTATAAGGCGCCTTTATATGATGTCAGAAATACACTCGGAAGTCTTTACATTTTCTGCCTAGGGGAGACCGCAAAAAGAAAATTTATATAATTTCGAATGTTGGCTGATGAACTCTGCAGCGCAATTCTGTAACTTTTATCGACACGATTTGTCGTATCGCAAAGTTGCGAATTTGGTCGCTTGTGCTAACGATTATGCCAACTCAGTTGGTACGATAATCGACATTGCACATTTCCATTTTATCACAATGTAGAAAAGGTGACACCACAGCTTAACGAAACGTCAAAATGTACGAAAAGCACAAAGAGGAATGGCAAAAACAAATAAATTTGTTAAAGAAATTATTTTTATTAAATGAATAGCAATGCATTACAAAGTTTATCAAAAGCATGTTATGGTTTGCACTTTCATGCATGACTCTCCGCTCTATTGAGGAGCTGCAAATAAAATAATTGTGCCGCGCTCTTGGGTACTTGGCATTTGCAACTATAATCTTGCGAAGAGGAGCACATATCTATGTGAAAACATAATGAACTACAATATTACTACAATAGTAATTGGAAACAAATTTACTCTCACCATTTGCACATCGATGGAATGGTATCCATGGTGGTTTACATACGATCCTTCATGATTTTTGGGACTCATGATTGACACATGAGTGCAATCGATAATTCCAATAGTGTCTCCACGATGATGAAGAAAAAGTTTCCTTTGCAGCTTGCCGCTCTTTTTTCGTCATTGGAAGTCTAGCAGAAAATATCGAGCGGTTGATTGCGTCTGTTACACGATGAATACAACGGCTTACTGACGACTGACTCATGGATATCCGCCATTGCTCTCCGACGGGACGTTGATAGCATGCTGTGGCAAAAATCGCAGAACGGTTAGAACAAACATTTTAATAGTGTTAAGACTAAAAGAAAAATATTGAATAAATATATTATTACCCGTTTCTCAGTAGACAACGCTGTTATTCTTCTTCCTTTTAGTTGACAATCTAGTTGAGAAATGATTTCTTCAATTCAATCCGGCGTTAATCTATATAGCTTCCGAAACTCAGTAGCATCCAAAAGAAAAGGATCTTTCACTTTTCGACGAAAGCTTCTATTCAATGATGAAGGGTAGGATACCTCTTCATCTTGTGATGAATCATATGCCAAATAATCAAAAGCCATTTATTTTATTTTTTTATATTTATTTATGTATAACTTAGATAATATCCCGTACACTTTACTCTGACAAAATTTTGTCGATGTCGCTAACAACTTAAAAATATTCGTCGCTCAGTTAACGATTTTTCGAGTAGTTTACGCCAACAGCGCGAGCGAATATCGTTATTATCGCTAAGTCTTTTTTGCGATCCGAAAATTGTTTTACTATTCTTAGAAAATAGCGAATATCATTAAAAACGTCGCGTAAGTCTTCTTTGCGATCCGAAAATCGTTATAATACGATAGAAAATTCCCCTTCAGGGTTCAGAATGGCAGTACGCAATGCTAACGCGGCTATTGCGGTCTAAATTAAAATATGTTTTACTGTGGTATATACTGTAATAAGTTGTATATATTAGATTTAACTAAATAAAACTAATTATAAAAATATATATATTTTTTAATTTAATATGAAGTAATATTACAGATAACACTCTTTTCCTATTTTGCTATTTTCTACTAAATTTTTTGAATTGAACTTACTAAAATGTACTTTCTTATCTAGATTGGATGATTGGACAAGAAAAGGCGAGTTTTTTTTATTATAAAATATGCTGCAGGTGCGCAGATGTAAGAAACGCGACTTCTTTTGTAAAATCATATAAAAATATGTATTTTGAAGTATAAAAAAATAAAGTAATACGCTTACTTAAATTTCCTAATATCTCATATTTTATAATTTGTGATCACGGGTGGAGAAATAGAAGATAATTTAGTTTTAAGTTTGATAATTTATTTTAATCGTTTTTCTCTATTTTTTTTATTTTATATTGAAACTTCCCTGCAAGAACGGGCTTATCGGTTTACTTATACACTCACACTGTAAGAGAATGCAATTGAACGGATTATCCCAACAAAGAAATTTTTATTTTCGAGTAGAACGCCATTTTTTGGTTTTCTCCGAAGCAGATAGAAGTGAACAATATATGACGAGGATCTTGTGCAAGCTGCGGTAATAATATATTGTCATTCATTAACTACTTCATTTTTCATAACTCTTTACATTGTTTTTATTTAAGGGTATTCAATATTGTACGGAAAACTCTGTTAATGGGGCACGTTGAGTAGAAAGGACGCTTCACATCTTGCAACAACGGCACATCTCAAAAATATTCAACAAAACTTTGCGAGGTACAACTGCATTATGATATTAATAACATTGTGATTCGAAAATTATTTTTTAATTTTAGTTAGATGTCTTTATACTTCATAGGTGCTGCGATTATGACGGAGGCGTTCGTGGAGCTGAGGAGCTGAATTACCAAGAGACGACACTTTTAAAGACTGCATATACGGTTTTGCTTACAATATTTTGCAGATTTTAGAAAATGAATTTATTGCTGCATTATTATTATTTTGTATGCTACATGACCCCTGTAAATGATCTACGTAAAGCATTGGAATAAAGACTTAACCTTAATAATGCTTTTTTGTATGTATGTGTGTAGGGAAAACTTTTGTCAAAGCTGATTTCCTTGTTGTTGTTGTTATATCGGTTCGCTAACCCCGCTTTGGCGCAAGTTTGGTCAGTCTAAGTTGCCGAGGTCATCTAGTGGGAGGTCTAAGAAACGAGCTGTTTCGACGGGGTTGGACCAGATGGAGAGGGGGGTTAGATAAGTTGCTTTGAGAGGACATGTGAAGAGGTGGTTAGTGTCGTGCGGAGAGTCCCCACATGCAGGGCATACGTTGGGTATGCTGGGGTCTAGTCTGGATAGGTAGGAGTTTAACCTGCTACAATATCCAGACCTAAGTTGTGTCAGAATCACGCGCTTCTCTCGAGGCAGCTCGAGCTCGTTGTCTGCTATAGGTGGTGGTTTTTCTCCGAGCACGCCATTCACTGGAAGGGAGTCCTTGAAGGTGTTGACTGACTCCTAGTGAATGGCGTTCAGTGCTTGTCTGTACGCCGTCCTGTCCAGCGGTTGTTGTGTGTGTTGCTGAACTGTGTCCTTTAAGTCTAGTACTCCCTTTCTGATGTGCATAGGTGGAGGTTCAGCTTCTATTAGGTGACTACTGGTGTGCTCCCTGCGGTAGCATCCCAATAGGAACTGCTTGCACAGCAAAGTATTATGCTCCTTAACTCGTAGCATAGATTCTTCGCTGTGCAAGTGATGCTCCGGCGACAGCAGGAGGTTTCCTATCGCCTAGCCAGCAAAGTTTTACTCTAGGTGCTGCCGGCTAGCGCTTTGAGATTTAGCTGCGGCTCTGGAGTTTTGCGGCAATTACGGTCGTATGCGGAATGAAGGAGTGCAGGCTGTCTAGAGTTACTCCCAATATTTTTGGGTTATTTATCGTCGGAATTTTTGCGTCATCGACCTTCACATCTAAATCAAGCCTGTATTCCTTCGTCCAGCTGGTGAAAAGGGTAGCCGAGGATTTTGTCGGTTGGATTCGTAGTTGTCAAGTGGGAGAGATCAGCGAGGTAGCCGTTTACTTTCGAGCAGAGGTCATCAATATCCTGGCCGGATGCCATTATCGTACAGTCATCGGCATACGAGGTTAGGGAAACTCCTTCTGGTGGTGGAGGGAGTTTCGATATGTAAAAGTTAAACAGTAGCGGGGAGAGGACACCACCCTGCGGAACCCCCTGTTTAATTTTTCTGGGTTTAGATGTTTTACCTCGGAATATTACCGATGATTGTCGACCACTCAGGTAGCCCATGACCCACCTCTGCAACCCCGGCGGTAATGAGGATTCCTCAATGTCCGTTAGTAGCACTGAATGATTTACTGTGTCAAATTCTTTTGACAGGCCCAGTGCTACTAGGACAGTTCGCGCGCAGGGTCGGTTTTGGTTGAGGCCATGGACTATCTGGGTGTTTATGGCGTTAAGTGCTGTTGTGGTGCTGTGCACTTTTCGGAAGCCATGCTGATGCGCTGCTGGACGCAGATGGTGAGTGAAGGTCGGGAGCAGTGAGGCCTCAAGTGTCTTCGCTACTGGGGAGAGGAGAGTTATCGGTCGATAGGACTCTCCTTTGTTGGCTGGTTTCCCCGGTTTTAGTAGCGGGACCACCCTACCCATTTTTCACACGTCGGGTATCTTCAGGGTGGTCAGAGACAAATTGAGGACCCTCGTGAGAAATTCTGCTCCCGCTGGGCCAAGATGTTTCAGCATCAGCATGTTTATTCCGTCGGGGCCGATGGATTTGGAGGCTTTCGCCTTCCCGATGACCCCCTGAACCTCCTCCCTGGAGAAATCAAGCACCACGCTGGTGTTTGGCAGTTTGCGCATACGGCGGGTCACACGTCGTTTCGCTTTGTCTACCGAGGGATGCAATGTAAAAAGACGACTAAAATAGCTCGCGCATCTATTCGGGTCCGACGAGGCGCGATCAATAATGAAATTTCCACCTGGTCATCGCGTCTCGTCGGGTTAGACAGCGACTTGACTGTGGCCCAGAGCTTGGTTGCCCCAGAGGAGAGGTTGCAGGTCCTTAGGTGCTCCTCCCACTTTTTCCGCTTATGACTGTTGACAACTCTTCGAATAACCGCGATTAAATCCCTGATTAGGGGATTCCCGGGATCGGAGCTTCGAAGGGTGTCGCGCCTGGTTGCTAGTACCGCCGCTTCTGTCGGAAAATTAGGGCGGATTTCCGCAATTCGGCCTGCCGGGATGAAGCGGGCGGCAGCGGTCACGACGACCCTGCGGAATGAGCGTTCACCAGCGGTGACGTCCGTTGGAGTGGGAAGAGCACTAAAGGCGTTCTCGGTAAATTCCGTGAATCCGGGCCAGTTAGCTTTTTTAAAGTTAACGAATGTCCGGTGGTCCGCGGAAACAAAGTCAGGAGGCCTTTCAATCGAGATATGTATGGGCAAGTGGTCCGATGCTAACGTCAGTATAGGTCGCCAGACTATACTGTTTATCAGACCAGCACTCGCAATTGTTATGTCTGGCGAGCTTTGGCAATTACCAATAACTCTGGTGGGGGTGTTATCGTTCATTGTGCAGAATGTCGAATCGTCTATCTGTTCTGCCAGCTCCATTCCTCTACGGTCATTTGACAGGCTAGAATGCCAATGTTGTTGTTCTTGTTGTAACCGAAAGTTATTCCCCGAATTGGTTTTCGAGGAATATTGCGGGAGTGACAGTCCTTGGCCGGATAAAAAATCCGGGTCGTTCCGGTATAAAGACCCGACTGTCGCGGGAACTATTGGATTTTAGTCGCCTCTTACGACAGGAATGCCTTACCACGGGTAAATTCTTGAGCCCCTAACCTGCAGGGATACTAGAATGCCAATCGTGATGCGCGCTAAAGTCGCCCAAAACCAAACGGTTATCGCCCCTGAGTAGCGCACCTACATCAGGGGTGTATCCAGCTGGGCAACTTGTAACTGGAGGTATGTATATATTGAATATTTCGAGCTCGACATCGCCTGACCGGATAGCTATGCCCTGACATTCTAAAGTAGTATCCCTGCGGTCGATGTCGCCATCGATGAGATGGTGTTGTGCAGGATGAACGCTGAGCCCCCACCATGGTCTCGCTCGCGATCCTTGCGGATTATGTTGTATCCGGCCGTGTTCAGAAGATCTGACCGGGCGGTCAACTTGGTTTCCTGGATCGCAGCTCCCGGCTCATATAGTCGACTATCTCGTCAATCTTTCCCTGGAGTCCGTTGCAGTTAAATTGTAGAAGTCGGGTCTGTATCGGGGGAACGTTCGTGATTCGGGGAGTGAGGGAGTGATGCGTGGATGGTGTGTGTTGCTGCTGTACTACCCGCGAGAGTTGGTTCCGCACATTGGTGTTGATTGGCGGAGGGTTTGTAGAGACATGCGGGGGCAGACTCCTACAGCATGGGGCAACGTACGCATCGCTCCACTCACGGGTGGTGCGCAGGCCAGAGCATGTCCGAAAGTGACACCAGCCAGAGCAAAAATTGCATCTGACTGAGGTCACGTTCCGACGCACTATGGTCTGACACACGGAACAGACAGTGCGGGGGACTAGGAGCTGCTGGGTAGCCCTCGCACGGGGGGAGGATGAGGAGCTGGTTGTGGGTAGGGATGGGGGTGGAGGTTGGGGGGAATCATGCTGCGGGGAGCTCCGTGAGACCGTGGAGGTCTGCTGATTACGCAGAGTGGGTACAGGTGCTGAAGGCACTGCCGTGGAGGCTGAGGGGGCGGTTGGACGCTGGCAGCATGGGGCCACATAACCTGTGGTCCATTCCCTGTGGATCTTAAGGCCTGAGCAGGTCTTAAGATGACTCCAACCATTGCACTGGGTGCATCTAACCGAGGTGGATGAATGGTGGTCTTCTTTGACACACGCAGCAGAAGTAATCCGTCGGTCCAGGGTTGGTTTCTACACCAGCCCTGATCAGAAGGATTTGGGGCAACCCAGCTGCGAGGTGTTGCTCCGTTGACGTACTTAGACTAAGGTTACCTGTAGACCTAAACGGGGTTAGGTCGCCGAAAGGGTGACAGCCCTTGGCCGGTTAAAATCCGGGTCAACTCCGGTGCGTAGAACCGGCTGTCGTGAGAGTTGATACTGTTTGGTAGTGAACTACGGTTGCCCAGAGATTTAAAATTTGGAATAACTGGCGATGCGAGAAGAATTGGCAAGATAATGTCTACCGATCTCGAGGAAGAGCTAAGAGATGTGCATGCTCTTGTGAGACAGCGAGCCAGCGAGCTCAAATCATGAGTGACAAAATGAAGGTCAGGTATGACAAGGCAATGAACTCCGAAGTTTTGCAAAATAGAGATTTGGTGTTGCTGTACAATCCACACCGGAAGAGGGGTTTGTCCCCAAAACTTCAATGTAATTGGGAAGGTTCATACAAGATAATCAAACGACTAAACGACGTAGAGTATCGAATCCAAGCCGTTGGGAGTCCAAGAAACAAGATGAACGTGGTTCACCTTGAACAGCGAACGTGTCTGATCGGGACGATCAGACTTAGGTGGAGGGCAGTGTTGCGAAAATGCGAGGCGAATGTCAGATGAAAGTGAGAAGCCGATAACTAGTACATTCAAGAACGATAAAACGAGAACCTTCGATAGCGAACAACAACAACAACATTACTCTACACTTTCGCCTTCGAGCAGCCGACTGCTATATAAGGGCGACACTCAGCCACCAACAAGTCAGTTACAAAGTGAACTCGTTTGCGACAAAATAGAGTATAGCGGAATAAACTATTTGAGTCGTAAAGTAAACGCGTTGGAGATTACATTTAAGTAAAGTAAATTGTGAAAGTTTATGCAAGTGATTGGAGCTAGTAAAGTGCATTGTAATTGAATTGTGAATTACTGAGTAAATAAAAAACATTAGATAATTTCTTTGTAACGAAAGAAACTGCAAATTAAGTTGGCGAGTTTTATTGAACAATCCAGAGATCGTACCCGAAGGATTCAGAAAATCATCGAGGTTGATTCAGCAAAATCGTAACAATATGAAAATAGCGTGAGGTAATGAACACATCACCGTTAATTGAGGCTTGTTAAGCTAGGTTGCTTTTCTTTTGCTCTTATTTTCTTCGTAATATAGCAGTTAATATTCAATGCTTTCATACATTTGAATGTGAAGTGCAGCTTTAAAACTGAAACTTGGCTTCAAGATTTAAATCAATAATCGTATAATACACACACTTTTAATTCATATAACGAATTTAATAAATAAATTGAATTGGAGTGTAAAACAACATTTGCTGCTTCTCTTGTATCCCAAAAGTCCCACACAAGATATGTATTTAAACATCTATAGCTGCTTAATAAACAACATTTACAAATCTAACTTTTAGATCTAAAGTTTATTTTATAATGCTTCCTCTTCGAAAAAAATTTATCAAATTAAGCGTGAGCTAGTTCCAAAACATCAAAGTTCATATATGCAACCCTGCATCCTATAAATTTGCTTTGCAACAATACTTTGTAAACTCTGACATTTTGGAACGCTTTTCTTGCAAATAAGTTACTTTTCGGTGAAGGGGCTAAAACAACGTTAGAAACAAACTTGTGATATTTATCAAATTTTGCTAGACCATTGTAAAGAAACTACAGTACATAAATAAATAAAACAAAAAGTGAACTGAACTTCATTGTCTATCAACTCTATTAAAGCGTAATTAAATCCAGTTTAGATACATTTAAAATATAGTGTAATTTCTCTTTGTTGGAGCCCGCCTGAGTTAAGTGATCCACACTTCTCTCGTTATATTTTTAATATGACAATATATGATATCCTCAACGCCATCTAGCGTATTTCTTTCGATTTTATAGAACGTTAACTGCTGACCACTAATGCCATCTGTTGAAAAATTAAAGAATTACAGTACAAGAGCGTATTAAGCCGGATAAAATCTATAAGATAATGCCTGTTCCATCGAAAATTAAAAGTAAACGAAGGAACGGTTTTTCTCAAAATTATGTCTAATTACCACTTAAAACAAACTATATTAAATAAAAATACTTTAAATTAGATAGACGACACTCCACTTGCAATTTATTGTATTTATGCTGTTAAACGCCATAAACACCCAGATAGGCAATGGCGTTAACCATAACTAGCCCTGCGCGCGAACTGTCCTAGTAACACTGGATTTGTCAAAAGCTTTTGACACAATCAACCATTCCGAGCTACTAACGGACATGGAGATGTTCCGCAGGGTGGTGCCCGACCAAATCCTCGGCTAGTCCCTTCACCAGCTGGACGAAGGAATACAGGCTTGAACTAGATGTGGACAGCCTGCACTCTTTCACTCTTTTAGCTGAACCTCCACCTAGGCACATTAAAAAGGGAGTACACGACTCAAAAACTGCCATCCAGCAACATGTCAACACCTTCAAAAACTCGATTCAAGTGACATCGGCGTCGTACGAATAGATTAGTAAAATCTACAACCTAAGCGGGGCTAGTAAACCGATACAACAACAACAATACACCTAGTTATTATTTAGAAGCGTTTAAACAAGTTTTTTGCGAAGCAACTTCGGTCGTGCCATATTTTTTTCATAAGCTGCCGTTGGCCGCCAAGGTATTTTACTGACAAATACTTAAAAAGGCTAAGCAGATGTCAGTGTACAAGTTAATTTTTTTTAAAGCGCGAGCGAATATCGTCTTGCCATAACGATAATATGAGTTTCCAACATGAGAAAATTGTGTCATCACATCGTTCGTCTCTTGATACCGTTTTCTGCACTTTTGCTAAAGAATCTAAAAAGTCAAATATTGTAAAAATTTATGGAATTTGGAATAAGTTAATGCTGTGAGTTTATCCCAATTATGGAATGTCTGATAGCCTATGATTCCCTTTTTAATCAATGAGGATTTTATTTATTATTACTGCAACGTGCTAAATGTATAAAACATCTTCGACTCACACTTCCAAAATTTTAGATTTATATCTGCATCTACTTCCTTCAATAAAAAGTTATATACACGTAGTATATACAATATACATCTGTATATATATATACTTTCAGTTACACTAATACAACTATCAACACATTAGAAGGTTAAAAGAAAATTATAAGTACTTTTTAAATAAGAAGAAAATCAACATTTGGTGTTGGAAAAGGCATTTAATGTAATAGTGTCGGACCAGTGTTGCCAGACACATTTCTCTGAAGGAGCCTAACCACAGCCCTTTTCAAGCATCGAAGTTTGCTAATCTGGCGTTGTCTACCAACTATGAAAAAACTTTATATAAGATTAATAATGTTGCGAAAATGCGAGGCGAATGTCAGATGAAAGAGAGAAGCCGATAACTAGTACATTCTAGAAACGATAAAACAAGAACCTTCCATAGCGAACAATTCGATGCTTCTACGCTTTCGTCTGCGAGCAGCCGACTGCTATATAAAGGCGACACTCAGCTGCAAGT